CATAAGGAAGAAAGACTAGGATGAGCTAAGGAACCAATGATCCCCGTCTGATAATTGGTGCTGTGCACCCCTGAGCATTAAAAATGTGGAGCAAGATGTAGAAACAGGTGTCGGTGGGGATGTGCAGGTGGATGGAGGTGAGGGTGTGACATGCACATAGACACGGGTGCAGACAGAGCAATACAGATATTTCTCCATGGAGATACCTAAAATAGATATCATTTCATTTGATCCTCAAATAGTCCTGGGAGATAGGTCAGGCTTATCGACATTTTTTTGCATATGAGAATACTGGCTCTCAAAGAGGTGCTGGATTCCCCATCTGGTGGCTGAACTGAGAATTGAGGGTATAACTTCTTAACCGAAATTCAGGTTTATTCCGACTGCAGCACAAAACTTCATTTTTTCACCCTGTTTTTTGGGAATTGTAACCTAGAATGGTGTATCTGCTCTGTGGTAACCTGTGAGCTTTTCCTATGCAGGCATTGCCCCTGAACTTGGTCTCCACAGAGCCTATGGAAAGAAGAGGTCAAGAGCCCTGACAGAATTGCTGGCTGTTACGCACATATAATGCCCACCTTTTCATTCACACAAACAGAACTGCTTTTCAGGGACCTTCACTGATTCACTCCTTTGCATCGTACAAGAAAATACAAATCCCCAGTGTTCCTGAGAATCCAGGTCAGACAAGGGGAGTCACAGAGCAGTTGAAGAGAGTCCCAGGGCTCTGGAATATTGTGCCTTCAAGCACCTTTATTTGGGAAAAGAAATTCATTAAAACCCAGCAAATGTGCTCAGGAGCAAGTCTGGGATGCCCGCTTCAATCCATTGCTGTCAGCGTTCAAGATTTTCTGTATATTTTACCTTCATCCTTGGTTACCAGGCAGAATAGATAAACTCTATTTCTAGAAATCAGTACTGCTAAAAAGAGGAAGGGAGAAAAAAAAAACTAGCAAGGAAAGAACAAAAAAACCCAGAAAGGATGATGATAAAACACCTACCATTTCTCAAGTCAAAATATTGTAATGGTGAAATGGGGATAAATGACTAATCTACAGATTTTCAGTTTTCAGTGAGCTATAAGAGGGGTTTAACAAGAAGCAGGAAACTAATATTTAAAGATAATTTCAGAAACATGAAGATGAGAACTGGTGAAAGGAGGAGGTTGCACCTTTTTCTTCTACCTCCAAGATTTATTGAAAATAGTGGCTTTTTAAAAAATGTAAAATGTAACTGATTCTACATCTAAATGCTGGTGCATTTATTCATTCCAAATTATTTACTGAATGCCAACTCTGACACAGTTGCTGCATTGGCGTTTTGACAGTAACAAAGAGACGGTTCTGCTCCCAGGGAGCTTACTGTCTAACGGGGAAGGGAAGAGATGTAAAGGGATGAATGAATGAGTGAATGAATGAATCAATCAAATCCACTCAAAATGGTTTTATAAGAGCTCTAGTTAAGGGGGATTCTGCATGCTTTTGCAACTAATAGCAGAATGGAATGGCCTGGGAATCCGCGAACATTTCCTTGTAGGGCTGAGCCCCTGAAAGTTGCAAGGAAGGGATGGAGTTGTGGGGCATCCTGGCAAAGAGACCATAAGTGCAGTTGCTTGGAGGGAACTGTGGTTAATTGGATGGAGCTGGAATGGAGAGGGCAGGGGCGGTGGGAGGGGTGGGGTAGGGTACCAGCTTGGGCGTGTGGGGGGCACCAGTTAATGGAGATGCTCCCTCAAATCTGTGGCACTTCGCCTGTTAGGTCTATTGAGTAAATAATGTCTTAGCAGGATTCCGCTGAGCATGGGCTGGACTTGGTAATCTCGGGCGCTCTGTTAGGATGACCTTACTGGATAGCTCCACGCCTCAGTTTTGCTTCCCTCTGAATTGTAGCCATGGCCAATCAGCTGTGTCACTTTTGTAAAGTAACTTGATACTTTCAAATGTGAACATCTCCATTTCCCAAATGAGGGGATGTAGGATTTTGAGCTAATTTCTAATGCTAATATTCCATGGTGATGTCCTTGAAAAATACACTCGGCCTCTCTGGGTCAGTGGTCAAGCTTTCTGTGTCAGCTATGGGTGGGGAGGAGGCCATGCCATGGGACAGAGAGCCTTGGGCCTCCTCAGAGGCAGACAGACTGGCATGAAAAGCCTAGCTCTTAGTTATGCGATCTGGGGCCATTTATTTAATCATTCCTTAGTTTCAGTCTCTTCTTTGGGGTACAATAAGAGTTATGGGGCCAGTTGAAACTATCACATACAACACACCCAGCATGACAGATTGAGCTCAACTCAATTATTTGTAGAATTGAAGATGCCAGAGCCTAGAGAAATTTACTGAATTTTCTCTCTGTGGATGCATATACTGGGGAACCACATTTCCCAAACTTTGTCTTAAAACTCTGATAAGCCAATTTCAAGTCAAATACGCTTTCCAGTTCTTCTGAGGGCTGAGAATAATCAGAGTCTGGAAGCTTTAAGGACAGATCTGCAGATTTCTGGACATCTGCCGTTGGTGCCAATTGGGCAGAAGTCAGAGAGAGGGAAGAGTTGGAGTCATTACTTTGTTTGTCTTTCAGGCTTTGTTTCCTCAAGTTATTTTCTTCTAAATGTATATTTATGTGCTTGCTGTTTGTTCTTGCAGTCACAGATGCTCCCTGAGAGGGGAAGATTTGAACAGACAGTGGCTCGCTCCCAGTGCCCATCTCCAGCCGACTATCTATCACGCCAAAGGACTTCTCTCCTACCTGAGAAGCGTGGGCCGGAGTCCCACGGTGAGTTACTTCCTTCTGCCTCCAGGCCCTTGGCTGGTTCCTTCCACCTTCTAGGAGGTGGAATACTTTCTGTCAAGGTGAGAAAACCAGACACAAGCCAAAGACCAGTGCGTGACAAGGTGACAAGCTCTAATGGAGGGTGTATCCGTTTCCTTGGGCTGCCATAACCAATATCCAAACTGGGTGACTTTAAACAACAGAAACATAGCCTCTCACATTTCTGGAGGCCAGGAGTCTGAAATCAAGGTATCAGCAGGTCATGATCTCTGTGAAAGCTCCAGGAAACAGCCTTTGTTAACCTCTTCCGAGCTTTCAGTGACTGCTGGGAATCCTTAGCGTCCCTTGGCTTGCGGCAGGGTAACTAACTCCTGCCTGTCTTCACACAGCTGTCTTTCTTCTGTGTGTGTCCGTGTACAAATTTCCCTCTTCTTACAGTCATTGGATTAGGGCCACTCTAATTAGTATAATGAGTATGGCCTCATCTTAACTTCATTACATCTGTAAAGACCCTCTTTGTAAGTAAGATCCCATTCACAGGTAATAGGAACTAGGCTTCAACATATTTTGTTGGGGAGACAGTTTAACAGGGGCAAACCATTGGTTTGATACTCACCAGTGAAAACTGGGCGAGAAATTGCATTTTATCCCATTTTCTGGGTCCCTACTTTTCTGGTTCTTCAGTTACTGATCAAGAACAAAAATGTATATACCTATTAAGTAGTGTTTGGAAAAACTCCTCCAGGTCTCCATATTCATGTCCAACGAGTAGTTACTAAATTCCAAGGATGCTTCTGACATTGTCCTAGGCACTTTCATATAAAAGCTTGTGGCAACTGTGCAATTGATAAGAAACAGGCTATAGCTGATCCCCAGCTTATGATCGTTTGACCTTTGGTTTTTCAACTTCTCAATGGTACAAAATCAATACGTGTTCAGTAGAAACCATACTTGGAATTGTGCAGTTTGCTCTTTTCCTGGTTTAGTGATGGGTGGTGTGATCCTCTCCATGATGCTGGGCAGGGGCAGTGAGCCCAGCTCCCAGGCAGCCATGCAGTCATGAAGGTAAACAGCCAATGCACTTAACCATTCTGTACCCATCCAACCATTCTGTTTTTCGTTTCCAGTAAAATATTTACTAAATTACATGAGATATTCAATCAACATTTTATAATAGACTTTGTGTCAGATAATTTTTCCCAACTGTAGGCTAATGTAAGTGTCCTGAGCATGTTTAAGGTAGGCTAGGCTAAGCCCTGATGTTTACTAGTAAGGTGTAATAAATGCATTTTCAACTTATGATATTTTAAACTGACCATGGGTTTATCAGGCTGTAAATTGTAAATTGAGGTTGTATTTGAAACCAGAGCCTTAAGCTCAAGATAAGAGAGGAGGTGATGATACCCAAGGAACTATGTGAAAATAATCATTTATTGATCACAAACTGTGAACATACTGTCTGCAAATGTATAGAGGGGCATTTTTCCAAATTTAGAGGGTTTACCTAACCTAACTAAGCAGCTTAAAATAGCATAGAAAAGCTCACAGATGGGCCAAATAATCACTTCTACTATTAAGCACTTTTTGAACATATGTGATCAAAACAATGACAAAGTCAATGATTATCTATTAAAACAATGGGTAAATATCTAATATGACATCTTGTTTACATCTCAAAAAGGATTAAGAAGCCGCATGATTTCCCTGAGGCCACCAGAAAGCGTTAGAGGCAGAGTTAGAATTCAGAAAGGGCAGAGTTAGAATTCAGTTCTGATCCGCTGCTCCAACCTGAAACCCCGCATCTCTCTTCATCACTTCCTCTTTGACAGAGGGTGTTTGGGGTCCCTGACTATCCTCTGGTTCAGTAACTCCCTAGGAGGAATCACAAAACTCAGAATAGTTGTTATGCTTATAATTATAGTTTATTACAGTGAAAAGATGCAGATTAAAAGCAGCACAGGTAAAATGTTCATAAGGAAGAGTCCGGAGAGAGATGTAACTTTTCAGTGTCTGCTCCCAGTGGAGTTGCATGGATAGTGCTTAATTCTCCAGTAGGGATGTAGAGTATGGCCAGCCAGGGAAGCTTGACTGAGCCTTGGTGTCTAGGGTTTTAATTGGGGGTCAGTTTGTAGCCTCAGTGACCTGCATGGCTGATCTTAGTTGCTCACTCTCCGTACCCTTTAGAGGTCCAGCTGTCACTTAGTGGCCCAAGAACCAACACCCTAAATTACATTGTCACCATCAACCATCTGGCATGGCCCAAGGCCCCAGGTGAAGAAGGACATTCTTATCTAACTGAATATTCCAAGAATGTCAGGATGATCTCCCAGGAGCCTGTCAAGGCTTACTTGGAATGTGCAGGGTTTGAGCACTTCAGGTTTGCTGACTCAATGCTTTAAAGCAGAGGGAACAAAGTACATCTTCCATCCTTAAGAATCCTTCTTCTATACTGGTCAAAATGTGCAATATTTTCATGCTGAGTCCTATTCTCCTATCCAAGGAGATGCTGTAATCTATGCTGTCTACCCTTGAGAACCAAGTTCATGGCTGGCATAGCAGAACACCAATGTCATGATCAACGCCTAGAAGTATTCTTTGACAAGGAAGCATTAGCCTCTGGGAGGAGAGAGAGAGACTTTGAGGGAAAGAGGTTCCTACCTGATAAACGTTTAAACATAAACACATCCAGCCCTGAACAAACAGGATTCCTCTTTGCTCTGACAACTTCCAACTAAGAGCAGAACATCTTTTTTAAAGTGTGACAGTTGAGAGGCTTGTTTAAAAATATAAGTAAACATTAATTAACTGTAAACATGACAGCCACAGGCTTGTTTCCTGCTGAGGCCATCTGAGAGGTGGGTGAGAAACAGCTGGGTACTAAATGCTATTCACAGTGTCACAACACTGCCTAATGGGCTCAACATCACCTTTTACTTACCTATGAAGTTATATTTAAGCAGTCTCTTGCTCCTAGCAGAATTGCTGCCAGTCATTCAATATTCAGGCCTGTCCTACACTGGTAAGATTTCTATTGTATCCAGATTGATTCTTGGGCTACCTGGTTGGAGATTAACTGTGACTCTGCCCAATCCAGAGGTCTTATGAAAATATATCCTGAAGCTTCAGGAAGCTACTTTCTCATGGCTAGGATGTTCCATGGATTCTAGATGATACCCAGGCATTATTCCATTGGTGGCTGGAATAATATGTATTCCCAGAACCAATGAGAATGTGAGACAGTGAGAGAAAGCCCTAAACATCCTGCTGGGGGTTGCCAAATACCAGAAAAGGCACTTTTTTTTATAAGCAATATGGCAATATTCACATGTCGTTATATCCCTCTATCTATCCATCCATCCACCCAACCATCCACTTACCCATCTCTCCATCCATCCACCTGTTCATCCACCCATCCTTCATCCATCCATCCATCCATCCATCCATCCATCCATCCATCCATCCATCCATCCATCCATCCATCCATCCATTCATCCATCCAACCAACCAACCATCCATCCACAAATCCAAGCATCCACACATCCCCCCATCTACCCATCCACCCACTCATTCATCTATCTCAGCAATCATTTATTTGTATACTAATTTACACTATGTGTATGTACTTACTATGCTAGGAGCCAGCCAAGGGGGATACAAAACCATTAAAAAAAATAGATAATCTTTTTCTTTGAGAAGTCCATTGATTACTTTGTTAGAATGTGGAATCAGGTCTACAAAGAAACCAGTGTGCCACAAAATGGTAAAAATTATAACAAAGGCTAAGAACACAAATGGGGGGGTTGAGTCATTTTCCCTCAGGGTTATGGAAAAGCTAAAGACAAGAGATGCCATTTGACCTAGACATGAAGAATGGGTAAGAGTTTTACTTGGTTTTTAATCACAGTAAGATGGAGCAATATTCTTTTCTCAGAGGTTCTACAGACTTGAAGATGATTTCTTAGAACTTCCGCCTTGTGAAATGTGGAGTTCTGGCAAGTTTTCTATGCTTGGAGTCTTGCATAGGGCAAAGGAAAGGAAGCACTTCATGAACTGGTAGCATAGACTCATGTAATCCCACACCGACCTGATGGTCCCTCTCCTGTTTTCTTGAACCCTGATTTTCTGTCTCTCTGGTTTTTTAGAAGGCCAGTACATCTGTCCCAGATACTGGTTCCAAAAGCCCAGAAACACAGTGAATATTGGTATATTCATACACTGAGTATTCAGCAATAAAAAAAAAACACAACAATGAATTTGTGATATACTCAATGACATGGATAAATTTCAGAAACATGTTGAGTGACTAGACACTAAAGAGTACCTACTCAGCATTTCTATTTATGTGAAGTTCAAGATCAGTCAAAGTAATCTATGAAGACAGAAATCAGAATAGTGAAGGATCAATAATAGGAGCCAAGGGGGATTGGTCAGTAGAAATGTTGTGTATCTTTATTAAAGTGCCAGTTACACCAGAACTCATCGACTCAGACTCATTCAAGATCTATGCATGCCACTATAGGTGCACATTTACCTAAATAAAGAAATATAAAGATAAATAAAGCAGAGTCACAGAGGTTTGAAATGTTCTAGCCATTCAAAGGAGACAAGGTAGGCTGCCCAAAGTAAGACTTGACCAGCATGCAGGCATGTAATTCAAGCCAAGGAAGATGCTTGGACAGAAGCATCTTTCCATTCTGTTCTTTGCCAGAACAGAACAGAAAGAATGTAGAAGATCTATGATAAATTAGGAAGATCAAAAGACACAGCCAGATTAAAGGCATGCAAACAGAGAAGCCCAGAGAGGCAGAGGTTCCATAATCAGCCAGTAGGTAGCATTGACTATGCTCTTCTTTGTGGAGCTCCCAGAAGGGCCAGAAGGCATATGACCCAGCTTGGGGCTGTGCAAGAAAGCTCTCAGGCCCAGCAGCTCCCAGGAAGCCAGGCCAACAGCCACTTTTGAGCTCCCTTATTGCAGCTGGCCTAGGCCTTGTGCTACTTCAAGG